CCACGTAGAATTAAGGCAGTTCTGAAGGCGAAAGGGGGTCAAACACCGTATTAGTATGGTGTTCCTAATAATCCTTTAGGTGAGTGTATATACTGCCAAACAGTAGAAGCTGCTTAACTGGTCTGATGATCTGAATGACACACTTCTATAAAATAACAGTGTTTTTGCAAACTGTCAGAATCCCGCCAGTTGTTTGAAATGAGCAAGTATCTGTGTGCTTTTGTGGGCAGGTGACTCACACTGCATGTGCCACACTGTGGTATCGGCACTGCCAGAGTGTCATTCAAACGTGTGAGTGAGGAAGCTTCCGTTTTATCTTATCCAGATGCCCCTTTCTTCCATAACATGAAGTCAGGCTCTGTTAGAAAACACCCCTCCCCCACTGGCACCCACAACCACCATTCGCTACATCTGGCCCTGAGGAAACATAGTTAGGGGGGTTGAGGGGAAACAAAAATACTGTTATTGAAAATAGTTCTTATTAATACATTTAGTCTGGTCTTAGTTGAATTAATTCACATAAATTATTTTGTAATTTATGTTCACTTCTCAAAATACAGTAACTATTATAAATAATCTTAATTTCATAAATTTGTTTTTGTATTGATTGGTATTTCTCTTAAGCCAGATGCTTATCGATGGCTAAATGCCATAAACAACATTCAGCTGTGAATTGCCTGATCCTCAAGACTAACAGAACTTAAATCTAAGGAGCTTAGATTTAATGCTTGATTCTGTATCAAGCTGACAAAGCTGGAGAGATATAAAACATCACATAACATACACATCCTACATTTATGGAAAAGCTAAAATGTAGAACAAAATAAAGAAACTACATACGTTACTTCAGCAGAAAAACTTCCCTAGTTACCATCAAAGCATTGCATTACAAAGAATATAGCAAGACCCTAATATGATTCTGATGACCAGAAGTGGGTGGGTAGCTTATTCCACCATCGAGGAACTACACGCAAGGAATGTCTAGAGGAGACTTTCTATCATGGTGTAGGAATCTTCTGACTGAAAAGGGCAAGAGGAGATTTAGGTTTCAATGTGCGACTTTATGGAGACAGGTAGTCTCCATAAATGTTTCTGAAAGCCAGCACCAATGACTTCATGCAAGTGCCTTTAGGAAGTTAATGAAGAAAGACAAGGAGGGTTATAACATGACAGCATTTTGGTTGATTGAATACCAGATATTCCGCCAGATTTGAAATCATCTGCATTGCTTTGACAGCACGAGCTGGAGCTGTAGTAGTCTTGTCACAAAATGACACATGCTTTGACTGGAACTTGAGCTGCATATTCTGACAAATAAGGCCTGATTTTCCTGATGTTATAGAATAGTAGAGGACCTCAAGCTGCTATTTATACAGGAAAGAATATCTGACAACTTATCATTATGCAAACCTTGATAGAGGCAGGGAAAAAGCTTGCTTTTAGAGATGTTCTGTGATGCTAGCAAGTAATGCAGAGATTAGAGAAGAGACTGGTATCCAGCTGGATGTCATCAAGACAGCAGTGATAGGAGAAGTCACGTGACTGGATGATCAGAATCCGGAGAGGTGGTGTTCAGATTGAAGAGGAGAGTACCAAGAACTGAGCCTTGGGGGACACTTATTGTTACCTGCTGTGACCTCTACTTTTTGGCCATAACTCACTGATTTTAATACAACCTCAAAAGGCTTTCTCCATTTAATAATATTAATAATAATAATAATAATAATAATTGTTGTTGTTGTAATAATAATAATAAGAATAATATAATTTGTCATTGTCAATCTTTTCATGTAGTGTTTATATATCATTTTTTAATTTAGTTTTTTAATTAAAATTTTCTTGTTCTTAACCATAAGATTAATGGGAACAAAATCCTTTTGTCAACAGAAGAGCAAACCAATACCCCAACTGTCTTAGGTACGCAGGACTTTTATCAACAGTTCTCATATTTTAGTCAACTTTGATCACTTTCTGGATGACTGAAGCTTAAAATTACATGACATGCGACAGAAACAGATAAAGAGGGCAAAAATTAGGCAACTTGTGGTCTCTCTATCTGTCTGGTTTTAAAGCTTCAATCCTGTTCCTCCCCCATGTAAATGTCAGCAGTTTCATTTTCCTTTAGCCGCTTTGCTAAACTCTTCCACCTTGCTGTTGATTGATACCCCAGCATTAAAACCGTTAACAATCATATGCAGGGCTGGAACATCCAAATTTTTACTGCTAGCCAACTGAGTAGTTCAACAAAAAAAAATGTCTGAAACGTAGTTTTATTTACTAGCCAGCAGGCTATTGTTCAGCTTTTAGTACTTGCTCTTTGTCTAAATTACTCACCTCAGGTGAGTGGATGAGTTTAATTTACAGCCCTGTGCATATGTTTTGTTAAATAAATTTACTACATCCTAATAAAGTGTGTGTTCTGGTCCACAATACCTAGAAAGTAAAAGAAAAAATCAGTTACAAATCCTATGTCTAATATGGCATGCATACAATTGTAATGGCTAGAAGACTTCACTAGGTTCCATGCTTTGTTAATTTTAGCAAAGAACGCAAATTACATTGTAAATAGTTGTATTATGAATTAGATACCTGTAATACTGCAATATCTTTGTCATTAATGTTTAAATCAGTGGTTTTTATGGAAATGCATTACATACAAATGAAATAGTTATAATATGATAACATGCAAATTAATTCTTCAAACAAAAAAATGAATTAGCAAAGCTGAATGATTTTTTTGTTACCCTTGATCACTTCAGTGTTTAGAAAAGATATTATCACAGAATGACAATCATTCCATCCATCCATCGTCAAATCTCTGAGTGAATGGAAACCTATTCCGGGCAGCAGAAGACTGGGGTCCATGCTGGTTGGGACTCCATTCCATAACAGAGCACATACATTTGCTCTAAGTAATTTAGAGACACCAGTTAGCCTTTGGAAGGAAGCTTGTGTGATGCAAGGAGAACTCCACAGACACCCAGTGGTCCACTATGCCACCCATTAATCACCCCAGTACTTATTATAATTAATTACAAGTATAATTAAACTATGTGACTACCAAAGATTTCAATAGATTGCAGAAGAGTCCATCTTTCACACATAATTGGAGCCAAGATAGGACTGCTGTTGTAGTATGTTTTACACTATATGGACAAGTATTGGGACGCCTGGCCATTACACCTCTATGAACTTTCTTGACATCCCATTCTAAATCCTTAGGCATCAATATGGAGTTGGTCCCTCCGTTACAGCTGTAACAACTGGGACAGCTTTTCAAAAGATTTTGGAGTGTGTCCATGGAAATCTCTGCCCATTTATCCAGAAGAGCATTTTTAAGGTCAGATACTGATGTTGGACATAAAGCTCACAATCTCCATTCTAGTCCATCCCAAAGGTGTTTGATGGGGTTGAGGTCAGGGTTCTATGCGGACCAGTCCACAGCAAACTCACTCAACCACGTCTTTATGGACCTTGCTTTGTGCACTGGGGCATAGTCATGCTGGAACAGAAAAGGGCCTTCCCCAAACTGTTCCCACAAAGTTGGAAGAATAGAAATGTCCAAAATGTCTTAGCATGCTGAATCATTAAGAGTGCCCTTCACTGGAACTAATGGGTCTATCCCAGCACCCAAAAAACAACCCCATACCATTGTCCCTCCTCCACCAAACTTTACTCCTGGAAAAATGCAGTCAGGCAGGTAATATTCTCCTGGCCAAACCTAGATTTGTCCATCAGACTACCAGACAGAGAAGCGTGATTTTGTCACTCCGCAGAACACGTTTCCACTGCTCCAGAGTCCTGTGGTGGCGTGCTTTACACCACTCCATTCAATGCTTGCCATTGTGTATGTGAGCCTTGCATGCAGCTGCTTGGCCACGAAAGCCAATTCCATGAAGCTCTCAGCGCAGGTTTTATGCTGGGGTTAAAGCCAGAGGAAGTTTGTAACTCTGCAGTTACTGAGTCAACAGAGCATTGGCGACTTTTACGCACTATGCACCTCAGCACTCGATGACCCCTGTTACTTTTTGTGGTCTGACACTTTGTGACTGAGTTCCTGTTGTTCCTCAAAGCTTCCACTTTGCTATAATAGCACTCACAGTTGACCATGGAATATGTAGCAGGGAAGGAAATTCACGAACTGACTTATTGCAAAGGTGGCATCCTATGACAGTATGACACTTGAATTTACTGAGCTCTTCAGAATGACCCATTCTTTCATAAATGTCTTTAAACCTTACTACATGGCTAGATGCTTGATATAATACACTGGTGGCAATGGATCTGAATGAACCACCCGAATTCAATGAATGAGAAGTGTGTTCCAATACTTTTGTTCATATAATGGAGTTGGAAACAACAAACTAGACACCAACATGGAAAAAGGCTTTTGTTTCTTTGTAACCCATTGTTCAAGTTCTGTATGTACTGTATGCTGCCCAGTTTAATGAAATGCAAGACTGAAATATCTCAAATGGGCAAATATTGTGTAAAACTGTACATTTTATATTAGCAATAGAGGGTCAAACTGCTTTCATTTATTTCAGTTAGGAAAACAAATGGCACCTTTTTGCTTTGAGTAACCTGTTCAGATGTTTTCTTTATGCCTGCCAACCTAAAACAGACTGTATCACATTGACAATGACACAGTGTGACCACAACATTTAACTAAAGATTCTACATCTTCCTGCCACCAGTCTAACTGTAAATGCTGGGCGTAATTGTACATTTTCCCAGCATAATCTATGAAGAGGCAGTCTTATAAACACTAGGTAACTTTTCCTTACCTAATCTCATACATTCTTTGTGCAGGCTGACGTTAACATAAAATGTGGGTGTATTCCCACATTTATGTAAATATCATGAGAGGTGCACTCATCAGTCAAACCTTGGGCGATTTTTCCGAGAGGTGATCTTACATCACAATGGAAGTGGGTTTAAAAGCAAGAGAAATACAGTACAAAGTGGGTTAGAAGCAGTTTAACAGCCACTGTTGTAGTGGAAATAGTCATTTGGAGTGGAATGCATCCTGTCATCTTGAAACTAAAAAAAACCCCACATGGTACAATGTTGTAGGCAATCAGAGGAATCTCCATTTAAGTTCTAAAACGATTTCAGATTGACACATCTGCACATATATGTTAAAAGAAAATATGCACACTGTACAATTTCAAACGAGCAAGAATACAAAACTAGAATACCCATATACTCATAAACAATTAAGCAGAACACATTTATAGGATGAGAACATAAATGTTCACTGGTATACTTAAAGATTTCATTCTCTCTTTTTATGCATTTTCACTATCCCTTTCCACCATTTAACAAATACTTAGACATATATTTTTCATTTATTTTTTAAGCAAGGCTCCAGCCCTAGGAAAAATTCTCACAATCTTTGTTTGAATATGTAATGTAAAGGCTACACTGAAGACTCCAGAGAGGAGGTATTAATTCATTTTGGCATCCAAAATGTTACCTTCATGACTTTAGACAATATCTCAAAAAACGTCATTGTAGAATGATGAGGCGGTTTCTGTAACATAATACGAGAAAATACACGGCCAAGACTATTTAAATTCATAGTTGTATACTGACATCTAGCGTTCATTATAATTATAGCCATTATTATACATTCTCCAAACTATACGTAATCCAATGTATCCCCTCAAATAGGGAAAACACAAACGGTCCTAATGTGTATGTCAATAACTAAAATATTATATTTACATGTATAACAATGTGTATTGCTGATATTACTGACATTATGGGAACATTTGGTTTCCACAATGTGATATTTTAACGTTGTACGGATCATTGTTCCGGGCCCCACAAAGGGAAACTCAATTTTATACAAATCTGTGACTGCAATCAAAAAACTAAAAATGCCAAAAGAACTTTGTGTGGTTCTTAATAGTTAAGGTTAGGGCTGGGTAGGGGTTAAAACTGTAAAAATTTTGAGATAATCATCTAAATAAATAAATCAGTTATGACGAAATACTTCGGTGGAGACTGCCTTCACTGTACAGGAAACTAATTCGCACCTTTATTCTATCTCTCTCTCTATCTATCTATCTATCTATCTATCTATCTATCTATCTATCTATATCTATCTATCTATCTATCTATCTATCTATCTATCTATCTATCTAAATGCTGGCGTTTGGCGGTTATGTCTTGCATACATTGTATGCCCTTGGAAGAACGCTCAGCTGATGACAGTAACCGTTTTTAACAACAGAGAAAGGCCAGATATTTACAAATTGCAGTTCTCCCAGTTTAGTGCAATACTAATTCATCCATATGTAATATGACGTAAATCCTAAACGTTACAGCACTCACAGTAGTATTGCGTATGGGATTAACTGAACTGTTAGACATTGAGCCATGTAGGGTACTCTTAATAACGGGGGTCAGTTTTCGGTTCTCGTATTTACAAAAACGTTTTATTCAATTGTGTTTTATCACACTTTTCCTGTTCAGTTGTTAAAATGATCAGGTAAGAAGAAAAAAAAACCCATAGTAACCAGGATTTCACACATCATTAGTTCTTGATTTATTTTTTCTAGTTTTCTTGATGTCAAGTGTTAACATAAATTGTCATCTAAATATAGTGACTATTACAATTTTAGAGGACTTTGTCATAGCATTACATTTTAATTTTTATTAGGACTTAATTTAAAAGATAATATATTGTTCTTTTAATATTTATTGAATCACCACACCTTAACTACGTCTACGACCTTACTTGGTTTGTGTACAATGTGTAGAAATATCAAGCTAAATAACAGAATGTCATGAGTTATTTACGACCCTCATAATTTTACCATTAAATGCTCTTAGAATTTTCAAAATTCACTAAGTTCTGTTTGCAGATCAGGACAGCCATTTACTTCATACATCTTTGCTGAAAAAAAACAATGTAACAGGAAACCCTAAAATGCGCGTGTAGGCCTTTAATAAAGCGGAACGAACATTTTCAATACTTGGTTATTTTACTATCAATAAAACATTAACTATCGCTGTTACGACACGAAAAATAGGGAAGCACATAAGTTAATTTTAATTTTAGGGTTTGATCAATTTGAACAGATGTTATTACTTAACCCAGAATACCATGTGCTGTATTTGAATCCTCTCCTGCATTGCCGAGGTTTCCTATAATAGTCCCTTGAATGATAAGTTTAACATAATGGCATCTTGCATAAACCCCGGGATAGATTAAAAAAAGAAGAAGAACAAATACACTCTACGGGGTGTAATAAACCTCCGCCAGAGTATGAATTCTGCATTTTTTTATATTATAATGGGCCAGATATTCAGGTCTCGTTTCATTATGCTCATCATGCAGGTAAATCATATCCATTAAACAAACCGTCTTAATCTTCGTCAATCTAAAATTACAAATGGCCTGCCATTTGGGGAGCCTTATCGAACTCTAGAACATTTTGGCCTACTTCATCTTCTAAATCGCAAGCATAAATTTCACAAATGTAATAGGCTAAAGATACTTTCAGAGGAGCAATCTATCAAAATAATTTTAAAAATTAATTGCAAAATCACCTTTATTTATTTTATTAGGCCTATATCTTATAACAAATGCATTCTTAATATTGTTTCAATTTTTTTAATCACTTACATATTACCAATATGAAATATATACCAAATTAAGGTATATAGTTATTTAAAGTTCTTGCATAAAAGCTTTAATGTTCATCTGAATATTACCTGGGTGGTTTGGAAGCCCCCTCTGTTGGTGAAAGTTAAGAATTGCAAGAACATGAATTAAGTATGAAAAGAATTAAAAACCTCTAATGGTTATGAATAATTAGGCATTATTTGTTTGTTTGTTTGTTTGTTTCTCCTGAAAAACCATGCAACACAACATGATGGCTATGTCAACTCGGGTAGCGGTTTTTAGCCGAGCATTTTGTATTGTTATTTAACTGTTACGTGATGTATTATTATTATTATTGTTGTTGTTGTTGTTGATGATGATGATGATGATGATGATGATGATGCTGGATAATAATACAGATATCAATTGTTTTCTAAACATTCATAAATACTAGAATATGATTGTGTTGTATACGTATTTTAACATGGGGTGATAATTCAGCGTAACAGACCCAATCAGAAATTAAACATATTGCTATTTTACAGGACAGGTGCTCTAACAGTGCAGTGAAAGCAAGAGATTTTTGGCAGCATCTAGAGGCCAATGAACGCGGGCAAGGAGGAGTGGAAGGCGTGGCTAGAATGCACTTACTTTGAGCTAGACCAATCAGCAGAGGCGTGGGATGTGGCATCCAGGGTCGAGGCGGCTTCTCAGGCGCGTAACTGTGGAGAGTAATGGCATGTGTGTAGTGCTGAGATCTACACAAACCTTCATACGCTGTGGAAATTATCGTAGTCTTGGCTTAACTTCTGTAGCTCTTCGAAAAGCAAGCTGGGTGAAAGACACGTGGAGAAAAATAAGCAGTCTTCTGAAATTCTAATTTAAAACTGTCATATTTCGTTTCCAGTCGGGAAAGACATTTTTTACTGGACATGTAAATTAAAGGAGTTAGCCCTTCACCAAAATGAAGCTAGCCGTTTCCCTGTATTGCTTCGGCTTTCTTTCGACTTTAATTGTGCTTCGTGTGAGATCTTCACAGTCAGGTGAGTGACAGGTATTCAACTGTCATTACGCATAATGCCTATTTATTAGTCACATTTCCTTATTTAAGACGGTCTTGTGTCAACAAAGGTCCAGACTCATTGAGTTTCCAATTTTAAAGTACACTATTCTCCAGTTAAACTACAATTTCAACACTTAATATGCAGACTTATTATTGTTACAAAGTTGCAGCCATCCCAAGTATTTACGTATTTTATGTACTACATGTTTAAATGGTTTTGGTCATTTCACGTGTATCAATACGCGATTCAATTCCTATGCGTGTGTTGACTGATTACGAACAGATTAATCGGGACGGTGTTTTATCGCTGTCAGGGCAGCACAGAGAGTGGCACTACTGAAATGCAAGAAAATAAAGATTGTCCTTACTTGTGTTATGCGGATACCGGCTGTCACTATAATGTTCCCTTTTCCTTTCTTTCTGAAAATGTTATTGTGTCTCTTCGACCTTTATTACATCAATTATAAAAATGTTGCCTGTTCTACTCACCAGTAAGGTATAACTCTGTGGCAGTAGAATTAAACATAAACTTGGAATACAAAAGATGCTGATCATAGCATCCCTATCACATTAACGTGCAAATCGAGGGAGTTCGGTTTAATAGATATGCTGTATTATGCAGTAATGCTTATTGTAATTCTCATTTTCAGTTCCATCTTTATGTGATTAGTTTTAATGTTACCTTAACTGTTAACTGCTTTAACTGTTTTTTTCTGTAACGTTTTATAATATTTCATAGTGTTTAAGCCAATTAGCATGATTCATCAATTCCATTGCCCCGTTTCTTAAAAAGAGAGAACTTTTTAACCGCGAACAATATTCAAGAAACACCTTTCTCCTGCACATACGCTATTAATACTTTTATGTCAAAACTGCATTTTAGCCTAGTGATCTGAAAAAAAAATGTCGATGTCTTGTAGTTTCGAGAAATTAATGAATCTTTAAATGTGCAGTTGTCATACAGTACAGATCACAGCATACAGGGGTAATTACGCTACCTTTTCACTGTAGTTCATGCTTGTTTCCATGTATTGCTGGTTGGCACTGCGTTTATATGCCCGCTTTAGGAACGCGCTGAAGCTGCATTTAAGAGGTAAGAGGTTCTCCGCTTGGTGGTGGTACGAGCCGGACACATGTTGAGAGATGGAATTATAAACGCAGGCTCACATACAAATTGCAACATACGTCACATACATTTGATATGAATAATAGGCTGATATAATTTATATTTTAAACATATCTTATGAGTTTTTTATATGTATGAATATGAATTTAGACTTTTAAATTGACCTATACAAATTCCATCACAATTTAACATGGCAATCGTTAACACTTAATTTAACAATTTCCAGCCACATTAGCATATAAGACTGATCGTGTTAGTTTAAGTTGTATTTGAGAAGTTGTATTACATAACAAGTGAGAGAATTTAAATGCGTGTTGCCACTACATTATTTTTGTTGTTAAACGATTAAGGGATTAACGAAGCTGGCCTTCCGAGACACATCTGCCTCCCTCGGGACGGCAGTTAACCCAAATGTATCTTGAAATGCTGAACATCTAACCGAGTCTGCTAGAGGACATTTAGTAACTTGACTTTCGATTAAACATAGAGTGACTAGATAATCCATGTCAGGGAGGATACTTTGAGCTACTTAAGGTGTTACAAACTACTTTAAAATTAAAAGGCTCTTGTGCTTGGCTAAAGAGTTAGGTTCTTCTTGTGCGTTGACTGGTTTGTTTCTTTGATTGAAAGACTCGTACCGTTGTCTCACATTAACATTAGTGATATGTACATGATTACAGGAGACTGACCAATCAGCACGAAGCAAGAGCTCAGTGCTTAAGTGACATCCAGGTCTTTTTAATTGAAATGGTAGTTTACAAACCCTGTCCTAGCACAGTATCTGGTCATCCTAGTTAAACATGCAGGAGGTGTATCACCAGTGGGCTAGAGAAAGTAAGCACACAGGTTTGTCTTTGACGTGCGACTTATTTATATCATTGCCATGTTTTAAGATATGAAGTTTCTTTCTAAGCAGGGACAAGTACTGCCACAAACAGGTTTTACTGGATGTTTTTCTCTGCATTGGAGGAGATTTTGCAAGGGTCATGTGTTCTGGAATAAAATATTTTCATATTAGCAATCTATATCTCTTGATATTGTACTTTTCTATATCCAAGACATAGAAATTGTAAGTAAAAGGGTAAAAATGCTAACTTAATTTAGCTAGACTGAGACCATAATTTGTTGAATGCCCTATATTATGTTTTTATTGCTCTTTTTATCTGTTTGGGTCCTTCAGGTGGTAATGCTATCTCATGAGATGACAGTGTTCTGATATGAATATAAGGCTTTAAACTGATACATTCTGTGCATTCCAAAATTTAAAATACTTGATATGTGCCTGGGAATATCATTAATATCTTGCAGTATATGGGCCCAAAGCCTTATCTGAATATTAGAAAAAAAAAACACCATACTGTCTGTATGATCAAGGAATATTTCAGCTGGGGTGCTTATTGTTTTCAGAAGTTCATGTGATATTTAGAGGTTCTGAAATAGTACACCAATACAACATACAGAATATTAAATAACCAAGGTTGCTATAAATTGGTATTTTTCACACCCATGGAGAGAAACAAGATGTTTGTGCTTTTTTACTACTTTTTGATCAGTAGTACCTCTGACCCTATTTACCAAAAAAAACGGCCATCCATTTGTAACTGCTTGTCCTATTCAGGGTCACGGGGGTCTGGAGTCTATCCCAGAGGCTATGGGCACACGGCAGAGGACAGCACAGGATGGGGCACCAACCCAAAGCAAAGCATACTCACACGCATGCACGCACACACACACATAGACACAGGTTTGTAATTATATCTTTGTGGGGACTCTCCATTCATTTATCCTACTGGGTTGCGGGGGGTCCGGAGCCTATCCCGGAAGCAATGGGCACGAGGCAGGGAATAACCCTGGATGGGGGGCCAGCCCATCGCAGGGCACTAACCATAACCATAAGTAGCTAAACAAAATGAGACTTTTGGCATTTTTACTTTTTTTGACTGCATTCACAGATCTTTGTGGGGACTTGGTCCCCCACAATGTCAAAATAACAGGTTTTTAATACACTGTGGGGAACATTTGGTCCCCACAATGTAAAACAAACATAATCCACACACAAACACACTCACACACCTATGGCTGATTTGGTAACCTCAGATAAACTCAGCATGTTCTTGGACTGTGAGGCAAAACCAGAGGATCAAAAGGAAACCCTGTGATAACATGGAGAGAACATAATATCTCCACACACATAGATCCATGGTGGAGACTCAAACCTTGGTCCTAGAGATGTGAGGCAACAGTGCTAACCACCTGCCAGCCTCAAAAAGAGTAAATCACATTTCTTTGGAGTTATTGTAATTTAAAATCGGCCACAAGTACAACACCACAGTTGTCAGTCAACTATATAATATATGTCAAATTTATGAGATATATATGGGAATTTCAAAAACGGGTTATATTTCAGTGTATGGCAGGGCTGCCCAAAAGGGGGAGACATACAGACCCCCGCACACTAGGTGGGACCCATGAGCATATGAGCTTGGATAATGGCACCTTTTTTCTGGGGCTCATTTGGTAGAATATTTCAGGGGCCCAACAATGTGTTTGTGTGGCCTTTGCACAAGGTAAAATGTCGTCTAAAGTCATAATTTATGTTAACTCTTCAGTATTGGTTGTCATTTACTCAAAAGTGTTGTTTGACTAAAGGACAAGGAGTTTGACTAAGTCAAACATCACGTGTGCAATTTTTGGGTTAATTTGTCATGTACCACGGTATATGTTTTCTTAACATTTTGTGAGGTGGGATGTATCCTTGATGGCATTTTTGTTTTGTACATGAGCCTGGAATCCAAAGTATGAGGAAGGGACAACCTAGAAGGGCCAAATTCTCTTTCAGTTCTCATTAAGTTCTGCAATATTTTCTTTCCGGTTAAGATGACTACTGCCACTTTAGTCAAACTAAACACATTTTAATGTATCAACAGTTAAGTACTGTATTAATTACAAGAAAGGTTCAATTTTGTCATCATGTTCTATAACTAGTTTAAATAATAGTACAATATTGAGTTAATGTTTAATATCTTAGATCTTTAGCTGGGTTATCCTCCTTTTGTAATGATAACTAGTTTGCCACAGTTTTTTACCCTTTTACTTCCAAATCAGGATGTTTACATAGTGTTGTCTGTATTGAGATTACTGTGATAGCTGTCTTGCTGCTGAAAAGCATGGAATTTATACTATTGGAATATCTGCATGTCCGTTTTTGTGCGTGTATCTGTTTGCACATGTTTGCTGGTGCCAGTTTGAAAAAGCCACTGGACATGCGTGTACAGCACTACCATCCCTCCTGTTGGGATTTCGCATGGGCAGTTAAATATGGCACATTCTGCAGCTGTTTGCCTTCATTACAGCTGTTCGGTGCTGAGGTAGGGCTATGTCCCATGTGTACTCCACACAACGATTTCAGATTCTTACATGCTTCTATTTGCAATTATTGCAGCCTCTGTCCTTGCTCGCCTTTAGATAACTGGGCCGAAAATATAAATGCTAATTTTTTGCATATATTGTTTTGGACTTTAATTACAATACAGTTCATGTGTATTGGCATTTCTGTACATTTTTTAAGTCAGTTAATGTCAATGAAATTATTTCTAAAACGAAAATGCAAACTTATTCCGATATCTTAAATTTTTAATTAATTAAAAGTTTTTCTAGTTGTAGGTATGCTTTGGTAACGGCTTCTTTCATTTTTTAGCTTGTAACTATGAAATATTTTATAATTATTTACATGTGCATGAATTACCAAAGTCATTTGCTTGTCATTTGTTTAAATGTAACATAAATCTTACTCTGTGTTTAGAATATGGGTACTTCACAATACTGGCTCTGATAAAGCTGTTTGCTCTGCGAGG